AACCTGTATGTACATGTCACGTGTGAGTGTGTGCCTGTATGTGTGGTGTACATGCCACGTGTGAGTGTGCCTCTGTATGTGTGGTATGGGCGCAAGCAGCCACGGTGGGAGTGTGCCTGTGGTGTGTGGTGGTGTAAGCATGCTGCTGTGTGAGTGCCTGTATGTGTGGTGGTATGTAAGGCTACGCAGGAGTGTGCTCAGAAGGGGGTGTGGTATGGCATGCTGGCGTGTGAGTGTGCCTGTATGTGTGGTGGTGTAAGGCTGCCATGCAGAGGCCTGTATGTGTGTGGTATGTACATGTCACGTGTGAGTGTGCCTGTATGTGTGGTATGTACATGTCACGTGTGAGTGTGCCTGTATGTGTATGTAAGCATGTCAGCGTGGTGTGAGTGTGCCTCTGTATGTGTGGTATGTAAGGCTGTCACGTGTGAGTGTGCCTGTATGTGTGTGGTATGTACATGTCACGCAGAGTGTGCCTGTATGTGTGGTATGTACATGTCACGGTGAGGCTCTGTATGTGGTATGTACATGTCACGTGTGAGTGTGCCTGTATGTGTGGTATGTACATGTCACGTGTGAGTGTGCTTGCATGTATAGTGTGTGGATGGTGCTTGTACCTATGGGGTGTACATGTGTCATGGGTGCCCACACGTGCATTGAGTGCTGTCTGTGTGCATGTGTGTGTGCCTCACACAGATGCCTGCATTTACCCAGGCACTCGCAAGAGGACACAATGCTGGCTCTCAAAGATCACAGGGCCACCTGAGCACACCACAGCCAGGCCATGTCTGGACGCTGCAGAGCCACAGGGCGATGCCTGTCAGCTAGGGGGCCCAGAATACCTCCTCGGCCCCTCCCCAGCATGTACAAGGCTGGGCTCCTCCAGCACGCCTGGATTTGGGAAGGCCCCATGGTGGGCAAGGCTGGTGCTGGGGATCAGGCCTGGTGGTCTCAGAGACTCTCCCTGTGGGCAGAGCAGCCTTACAGCCAGGTTGAAGCCAACGCTCTGCCCCTGCCCCATGCGGGGAGTGGACACCAGTGCCAGGGCACAGACCTGCTGGGTGGTTAATCTGGGTGATTAAGCCTCGGTGCTGAGAGGCTGTTGAGCGCTCTGGTGATGGAGCTGGCTCAGCGCTCCTCACAGCCATGGTGGCAGGGGCCATAACCACAGGGATGGCAGGAGGAAGTGGCAGAGGGTGGTGGTGTATGGAGGGGACCCCAGAGGGCTCCATGCAGGAAGGTGGAGGCTGTCGCAAAGGAGGGGACAGCAAGGGCTGCTCAGACCCCTGCGGGGCCCCCACTCCCCCAGTCACCTGTTTTGTCTCTGATCTGGCCTGGGTTGGCCCTCACTCCTGGCCTCTCCCTCACAGCCCACCCCGGTGGGGCTCTGCCTCAGCCCCTCTCCTTCCCAGGGGCCACTGTGCTGGTCCCAGGGGTCTCTTGGGGTGTGACCTCAGCCTCCAGAGAACCCTGTCCCAGCTCTGCCCTTCCCTCTGGGGTCTCTGTAGATGGGTCACAGCAGCCTGTCTGATTTGTCCCCTGTGGTCTGGGGTCCTGAGCCCCGCAGCACCAGGGGATGGTGCCACCGGATCTTTGAAAGACCAGTGTCAGGCTGGGCGTGGTGGCTCAAGCCTGTAATCCCAGCACTTTGGGAGGCTGAGGTGGGCAGATCACGAGGTCAGGAGATCGAGACCATCCTGGCTAACATGGTGAAACCCCGTCTCCACTAAAAACAAAAAATTAGCTGGGTGAGGTGGCGGACGCCTGCAGTCCCAGCTACTCGGGAGGCTGAGGCGGGAGAATGGCGTGAACCAGGGAGGCGGAGCTTGCAGTGAGCCGAGATCGCACCACTGCACTCCAGCCTGGGCAACAGAGCGAGACTCCATCTCAAAAAAAAAAAAAAAAAAAGGAAAGACCAGTGTCTTGGAAGTTGGAAAATCTGGGCTGGAGACTCACTGTGTGACCCCTGAGAGGTCACACCTCAGAACCTCGGTCCTGGCATCTGCAGAATGGATCTGTGAACACCTCAGCTGCCCGAAGGTGGATGGGGCAGGCCGAGCCAGCACTGAGCTCTGCCAAGGCTAGGGGCAGCCGTGCGCTCCCTCCAGACCTGTGCCTAGTGTGGAGGGGCCTTGTCCCGTGGGCGCTGGAGTGGAGCCTTCCTGGTCTTTGTGGACATCTCTGGAGAGGGTCAGAGGCAGGTGGGTGACGCAGGTCAAGGCTCAATCCTGGGTGGTCCAGACTGGAGAGGTAGCCTCGGGCTGGGAGAGGGGAGGCTGGTCAAGGTGGACTTTCGGGGCCTCCATGGGTACCCTCACCATCTGGGATGGGGGAGGGGCATGGCACAAAGGAGGGCGGGACCAGGGCCAGGACTGGAGTCAGGGGCACCTCCGTGCCCACAGGGGCCTTGGATCTGGGGTACAGCGTGGTTCCCTGGCCCTGAGGGGCTGGGTGTGGGACAGGCTTCCCAGGAATGGACAGGTAGGGCTGGATGCTGCCTGACTGGGGCGGGAGGCTGGAGGCAGGGCAGGTGCAGGGGCCTGAGGGCAGCACTCACCTCCTCAGGGGTCCAGGGGCCTCCCTGGCCTCAGCACCTGGCCTGAGCTCCTGCCTCCGGAGAGCCTGGCCTCAAGGAAGAGTCTAGAAAGCTTGGTTCCCATTGGGCTTCCATGAAAGCACAACTGGCCCAGGCAGGAAACCGAATTAAAAAGCAATATTTGTATCAGTGGAAGACATTTGCTGAAAGGTTAAATCCACATCCGGCAGTGTTGGCCACGAGCCTCGGGCGTGGTGTTCCTCAGGCATGTCTCTCCTGGCCTGGACACCTGAGCACTCAGGCCACCCTGGGCAGAGCCGGGGCGGGGCGCTTGGGGGCCTGGCGCTGCCTCACCGAGGGATCCCCAGCCGTCGACCCTGGCGCAGGCAAATGACCCTCTTCCATGGACCTTGAGGGGACTCGGGGGGAGCCATGAAGAGCTTCAGCAGTCCTGGACACTGGGCATGGAGGCTGGGCCACCCGGGGCCATCATCAGGGACTCAGGTGTGTGGGCCTCAGCCCCAGGTGACAGAAGCTCACAGGCGGCAGGGTGAGGCCAGAGGTTGGGTCTTCAGGCAAATCCCTCCAACGCCCTTTTGAGCAGGCACCCAGACCTACTGTGGGCCAGGACCTAGAGGTGGAGGCCTTTGGGGAACGCCGTGGAGGGGCACAGCATCTCCGAGAGAGGACAGGGTCTGCACTGGGTGCTGGGAGACAGCAGGGGCTGAGCGGTGGGCTTCCCTGCCCCCAGGGAGGTTCCAGAGGAGTGCAAGGGAGGGGGCATTAATATCATGGCAAGAAAGGGCAGGCCTTGCAGAGTGAGCTGCGACCGAGATGGGTTTTGTGGGATGCACAGGAGTTCACTTGGATAGAGGTGGCTGAGGAATGACACTGTGAACTGGGGATCACGGAGCCCCAAATCCTTCTGGGGCAGGAAGTGGGAAGGGTCGGGGGTCTCCCCTTTGCTCTGACTGAGCACTCAGCCTGCAGAGGACAGCGAGGAGCCGCCGAGGGGTGTGGAACAGGGATGCCATGGCTGAAGCAGTTTTAGGAAAGGTCCCAGGGGCTATCATTGAAGAGAGAATGGGGACGGGGGGCATCCCACAGCTGACAGGAGCAGAGTGAGCCCTAAGAGATGCCAGCTCTGGGTGCCACAGTGACCAGCCGGGGAACACCTTCAAGAAGTCAGGGAGCGTCCAGGGCTTCTGCTTCCTGCTGGGCCCAGTGTGCCACCTTGGGCTGCCAACACCAGAAAGCCCAGCAGACACAGGAAGCCCCATGACTGTCGGAAACGGTTCCCCTCCAGGAGGGACAGCGGTGGCAGCCTCGGGCCATGCACTCTGGGGCCACGTCCTTCCCTCTCTACACTCCACCGCTGTCAAGGTGGGCTCTGGCCATCTCTGCTGACCCCAGAGCGGTGAGGCGGCCTCCCCTTCGACCAGAAGCCACCCTGGGCAGGGGCATCACTCGCTGGATCGGGGCAGCGGCTGGGAGCAGGAGGTGCCAGTGGGCATGGGCTGGGTGCGGGTGCCTGAGGACTGTGGGGTGGACACGGAACTCGGGGGAGGCTCTAGGTTGTCCTCAAGGGAGTTCTCAGGTCACCCCAGGATCACCCTCACCCTCAGGCCCGGTGGGGTAGAGGAGAAACTGCAAAGGTCTCTCCAAGGCAAAGGGTATCGGGGCCCTCAGCACTGAGGGACGTGCGTGCTCTTCAAAGAAGGGGCCACAGGACCTCCGAGGGAAGCCAGGAGGCTAGCAGTGGGTCACAGAGGGGCTGGGTGGGGTGAGTGGAAGCCGTCCGTGGCATGCCATCCTGGCCCTGGTTGCCGTGGCCACCCTGGTGGGGGCTGCAATGCAGGAGGTGGGAGTCATTTGGAAACGCATGGCATCTCCTTGGGGATGTCTCCTGCAGCCTCCCAGGGTCCTCCACACTGGACGGGTGGGCCCTCCTGGGACATTCTGGACCCCACGGGGTAAGCCTGGGGAGCCTCTGCAATGACCACACCTGCAGGGCCTGGGGGCTGCAGGCAGATGGCACTCCTAGGAAACACATCGACGAGACACACGGCCTGGAGTCTTCGGGAGAAGCAAACAAATTGCCTCCTGACGTCCAGGGCTGGAGGCTGGATTCCCCATCTGGGGGCTTTCTGGGTCCATCTGCCACGAGGGTCTGGTGTTCATTAAAAGTATGCCCCTGGGTTGCCAGAGAGCCCCTCCCTGTGTGCTCCCTTGAGGGGTGTGGGGCCAAGCGGACCCTGGCTGTCTCAGTCCCCCGCAGAGCACGAGCCCCTGGTCCCCGCAAGCCCGCAGGCTGAGGATGATTCAGACAGGGCTAGGGAGTGAAGGCAATTAGATTCCACGGACGAGCCCTTTCTCCTGTGCCTCCCTCCCTCCCTCGTCACTCACCCCCGCCTCCATCAGGCACAGCAGGCAGGGGTGGGGGATGTAAGGAGGGGAAGGTGGGGGACCCAGAGGGGCTTTGACGTCAGCTCAGCTTATAAGAGGCTGCTGGGCCAGGGCTGTGGAGACGGGGCCCGGACCTCCACACTGAGCCATGCCCACCCCCGACGCCACCACACCACAGGCCAAGGGCTTCCGCAGGGCTGTGTCTGAGCTGGATGCCAAGCAGGCAGAGGCCATCATGGTAAGAGGGCAGGTAGGTGCCCGGCGGCTGCAGTGGACTGGAGCCCAGAGCTGGTGCCAGCTGCCTCTGCTACTCCCCAGCCTGGCCGGCAACCCCAGGCTCAGGATCCATGCAGACCCCTGGGACCCGGTGTGGGTGTGGAGTCCTGGGCATGGCGGCATCCCCTGTGCCTGGTGTTTGAGTCCCTGTTGGGGGAGGGTAAGGTGATGCTTGTCCCTGTGTGTGCCCCTCTTAGGCCGACCTCCCTCGGGAGTTGTGTGGGTCCCTGTGTCTTCTTTCATCTTGAATCTTAATGATGGGAACGTGGAAACAAATCCATCCAAAAAATCCCACATGACCAGAGGTCCCTGGCTGCTGCACACAGCCCCCACCCTACTTCCACCTGCCCCTGCCTCCCTCTGCCCCAGCTGCCCCGGTCAGCACCCCAACCAGCATGCCTGCTCCAGGAGGCAGCCCCAAGGCCCTTCCTGGGCTCTAGCAGCAGCTCATGGTGGGGGGTCCTGGGCAAATAGGGGGCAAGTCCAGAGTCAAAGAGTATCTGGGCTCTGGGGCGATTCCCATTGGCCTGTTCCTCCCTTATTTCCCTCATTCATTCATTCATTCACATGGAGTCTGTGTTCCCTGTGACCCGTACTTGGAAGCTGTGTGTACAGGGGGCTGTGCCAGCCAGGCTGGATCATCAGGAGCTTCTCAGACTGCAGGAAGGGTTTTCAGTGCCTCCATGGGCACACAGAACCATGGTGTCCCTGGCACATTTAAAATGGATTTTTATTTATGGACCTCGACTGAAACGTGGTGTGAGTTGTAGCAGTGTCATTTCCAGGTACCTTCTCAGGAACGCGGGGTGCCCTCCCCCGCCCTCCCCCACTAGGCTCCCCACCAGGCCCTCCCCAGGGGGACCCAGGCCCAGCCTCACGGGCTCTCTGTGGCCTGGAACTGCAGCCCTAGCTGCATCCTACACCCCCGCCCTAAGGGTAAGAGGCAACTCCAGGAGGGGCTTCTGCTGCTCCCCTTCGTGTTCCATGACCCTAGAAGACCAGGGTGAAGCTGATTCTTCTCTTACAAGGGGCCCAGAGCCTTCTTGGGAGTTCAGCTCCAAGAGATGAGCCCCTCATGTCTGCCAAGTCTCCTTCTGTCCAGGCCTGGGACGGCTCTGGGATCGAGGGGTCGGAGGTGCTGATCCCAGGGAGAGACACCTGCACCCAGAGCTATGACAAAGGGCAGAGGGATGACAAGGCAGCCAGGAGTGGGCACCTGGGGGGTGGCACAGAGGGGAAGGGCCCGAGGACAGGCGTCCTGATGGTCTGTGAGAAAGGGCCCCTGTGCGGGAGCCAGGAGGGTAGGGGGTTTGTTCACTAGGGCCCTGTGTGGGCAGCTCCTTCCTGAGCTGCCGTTCCCTCCCCGGCAGCCAATGCCATCGTCCAAGACATCGCCCTCTTCCCATCACTAATCCAGTTAGTGCCTGGCCTGGGGACGGGTGACACAGCGTCTCTGTCTGTCTGTTCCCCACAGAGCGAGGAGCAGGCGAGCACCCTCCCAGCCCCTACTCCTCCCCCCATCCCCACCGCTTCTGGCTGGGCTGCCCCCATCGGGAAGGGTGTGCAGTGCCTGCAGGCACCTCGGCTAGCATCTGCCCCAGCAGGCACACAGTAGGCGCTCAACAATGTGCTCTCATGCCCGGCCTGTGTGATATCAGCGCCACCCAACTGTGGGATCAGCTCTGGGTGGGGGTCCCTGGGTCTCAGCAGGTGGAGGAGGCATGGGTGACCCCTGTCCCCACAGTCCCCGCGGTTCATTGGGCGACGGCAGAGCCTCATCGAGGACGCCCGCAAGGAGCGGGAGGCAGCGGTGGCAGCAGCAGCTGCTGCAGCCCCCTCGGAGCCTGGGGACCCCCTGGAGGCCGTGGCCTTTGAGGAAAAGGAGGGGAAGGCGGTGCTAAACCTGCTCTTCTCCCCGAGGGCCACCAAGCCCTCAGCGCTGTCCCGAGCTGTGAAGGTATTTGAGGTGAGCCAGTGGCCTTTGTGTCCCTGGGGCAAGTTCACCTGCGGGCGGGGTTGTGTGGGGTGAGTTCCTGGCCCCTTTATAGCAGAGGTGCAGCTACCCAGGCCCCTGAGGCCGGCACAGGATGCAGCGGGGGAGTCTCAGGCCTCGGCTCAGCCCCCATGGCATCTAGCTACACCCCTGTGTTTTTGAGAGATCCTGAGCCCAGCCCTAGGGCTGAAGCCACCAAGCCTCCACTGTGCCTCCTGCCTTGCCCATCCCCTGGATCCCCCTCATCCATTTCACACATGGGGGGCTCCCAGCAGGGCAGCACAGGAGGCAGGGGTAGGACGGTGTGCCCTCTCCCTCCCGCCCAGCACAGCGACTGAGGTGATCACTGATTGCATTAGTCACTCCGGCCCCACTGTGCCCAGGGGGGCAGGTGACCCGGCTCCCGGAAGAAGCTCCCAAATGACATTAAAGCCAGACTCCCCCGGCCCAGCTCCGCAGAGCCCGAGGGCCACTGCAACCCATCGCCCTTGTTGCTGGGCAACGGAGGTGGGGGTGGAGTGGACCCTTCCGGCCAGTGTCCTGGATACTCAGGGGCCATTGAGACTCAGGGCCCATCCTACAAACCTGGATGAGGCCACCAGGGTTGGGGGCACCTTCTGACCAGTGGCTGAGGAGCTGGACAGTGTGGCACGGCCTTGGAACACACAGACAGAGCCGCCCAGAAGCAGGTCAAGCCTCAAGCGGTGACAAATCCTGGTTAGGTGCATGACACAAAACCCAATTTGCCAGTGGCAAACCCTGGTCTGGTGGCTGACAGCTGACCTGAGCCTGGAAGAACGGGATCTGTGTGCTGCTAGAATAAAAGTCAAGGGCAGGGCCTGGCCAGCCGGCCAGATGTGCCTCCTCCTCCCCTCCTCCTCACCCTCTCTCCATCTCTGTCTCTCCTTCTCTCTCTCTTCCTGCTTTTGCTCCCTAAGACGTTTGAAGCCAAAATCCACCACCTAGAGACCCGGCCCACCCAGAGGCTGCAAGCTGGGGGTCCCCACCTGGAGTACTTTGTGCGCCTCGAGGTGCCCCGAGGGGACCTGGCCGCCCTGCTCAGTGGTGTGCGCCAGGTGTCAGAGGACGTGCGCAGCCCCGCGGAGCCCAAGGGTGAGGCGGTTTTCTGTCCTTGAGTGCCGCCAAATGACCTTGAGACGCTGGGGTGCAGGGGCTCCTGCAGGGGGACCCTACAGTGACCACGTGGTGGTGGACTGGTTCCCTCTCTGTGGGCTCCACTTTGCCCCCCGTTTTGCTACACATCAGTGTCTGGGCCTGGGGCCACCTCCAGAATCCCCCCGCAGCTATCACAGCCCCTGCTGCCTCTGCCCCGTGGAAGTCTTGTAGGGGAGGCTGCTTCAAGGTGGGTGACGTGGCCCCATGCCTCCAAGCTCACCAAGACCTCTTCCTCCATCCCCCATAAAGTCCCTTGGTTCCCAAGAAAAGTGTCAGAGCTGGACAAGTGTCATCACCTGGTCACCAAGTTTGACCCTGACCTGGACTTGGACCACCCGGTGAGTGGTGTGCCCCCCACTCAGGCCTCCTGCCCCTGATCACATCCCCTACCCTTATCCCAACCCTGGACAGGAGTCTGTCGGCTTCGGGAGCCCCCGTGGCCTGTGCCCCCAACCCGAGCACCGCCTCCTGACCCGTGCACCCCTCTGCCCTCAGGGCTTCTCGGACCAGGTGTACCGCCAGCGCAGGAAGCTGATTGCTGAGATCGCCTTCCAGTACAGGCAGTGAGGGGCCCCTGCGCTCGGGACCCAGATTCCGTCCTGCAGGCTCACGGTGGACCTGGGGGGCAGGAGGGAAGGACAAAGGGGAGGACCCATCTTGTCACAGCATCATTGCCTCCTGCCAGGCAGCTCTGCTCCAGGGCTTTCCATGTCCCCAAATCCCAGGGGGGAAACTGAGGCCCGGTGGGGGCTAGAGCAACAAGCCGAGGCCGCACAGCCAGCTAACGGCACAGTCAGCCGGGGTGCACCCTCCTGTCCATCCTCCAACCCAAAGGCCTCGCTGCACAAGGCAGGTGTGGACCTGTGCCCAGAGAGGCTCCCTCCCTCCCTCCTGCCCTTCCCACTCCCCGAGGGGACCTGCTGACCACTGGCCCCCTCCCCAGCGGCGACCCGATTCCCCGTGTGGAGTACACCGACGAGGAGATTGCCACCTGGTGAGACCCCGTGCAGCTAGCTGGCGAGGGACTGGGGAGGAGCCCGGGGGATGCCTCCTGGAATCCTGGTGTGTGGGGGCCGCCTCCAGGGACCTCGGCACAGCAGGACAGACTAAGGCCAGGAAGAAGAGGGACCTCCAGGGATCAGAATGTTGGGTTGGGAGGAAGAGGCTACCCATCCTGTCGGGCCATCCCCAGTATGCTGAGGGACCACCCCTCACCGCCCCCCAGCCCCTGGGATTCCCCAAAGCCACCAGCAAAAGCCCTCCCCAGGGGCCTGGGTCTTCACGGGTCCCCAAGAGGCGTGCGTTGGGAGGGGTTCAGGCAGGCAGAAGCACCCACAGCTCAGGAGGGGCTTCAGGGAGGGGGGTTCCGGCACTGGGGTGGGCTTGGAGGGCCCTGAGCCCCGCTGCCCGCAGGAAGGAGGTCTACACCACGCTGAAGGGCCTCTACGCCACGCACGCCTGCGGGGAGCACCTGGAGGCCTTCGCTCTGCTGGAGCGCTTCAGCGGCTACCGGGAGGACAACATTCCCCAGCTGGAGGATGTCTCCCGCTTCCTGAAGGGTGGGCCCAGACGGGAGGGGCGCGGAGCGGGGTGGGGCCGGGGACGGTCAGCCACGCGCCCCAGCCCAGCGCGGTTCCAGCCCGTCCTGGCTTGGCAGTGACCAGAGTGGCCCCTTGCAGAGCGCACGGGCTTCCAGCTGCGGCCTGTGGCTGGCCTGCTGTCCGCCCGGGACTTCCTGGCCAGCCTGGCCTTCCGCGTGTTCCAGTGCACCCAGTATATCCGGCACGCGTCCTCGCCCATGCACTCCCCTGAGCCGTGAGTGCGCGCCCCGGCCGCCAGCCCGAGGGTGGGGGGTGCGGCGCGCGGCCCCTCAGCCCCCCTCTCCCTCCCACGCGCAGGGACTGCTGCCACGAGCTGCTGGGGCACGTGCCCATGCTGGCCGACCGCACTTTCGCGCAGTTCTCCCAGGTACGCCGCGGCCTCGAGCGAGTCGGGTCGCCCAGGGGCTGGCCAGGCGCCGGGGGCGGGGGTCGATGTGCGGGTGGGTGAAGTGTGCGGCCTGCTCCTGGGCCCCGCCATGGGGGCTCAGCATCCCGAGGGTCGCGCGGCAGAGGGCGGGGCTGGAGCGGAGCCTCCCGCGGCCTGTGCTGCCACCTGCTGGCTACCTGGGAATGGCGCCCACGAGCTTAGGGATATGGTCAAGGAGGGCTGCCTGGAGGAGGAGGCCCAGTGGAGGTGCAGGTCCAGTGGAGGTCGCCAGGGAAGGTCTCTGCCGCCCCGGAAGTGTCCCAGAGACCCCTGGAGGGGTTGCAGACACTCCTGGCGCCCCCACCTCGAGCACTGCCCAGGGCTGCCCCACCCCACCCTTCATCCTCCTCCCCACTCCACAGGACATCGGCCTGGCATCCCTGGGGGCCTCGGATGAAGAAATTGAGAAGCTGTCCACGGTGGGTTGACCCCTCCATGCAGGGCCCGGGGTGTGGGCTTAGGGGTCCGAATCCAGGCTTCGCCCTCCTGCCGTCCAGGCTGAGGCCTCTGCTTCCACCCAGGAATCGTGACCCTCACCCTGACTCGCCTGCGGCCTGGCCTGGGCTCCCCGGGGGTGGTGTCCTGGTCACAGGTGACCAGGGGCTGCCAGGTGGCGGCAGCGGTCTCAGGGCTGATGCTGCCTGCCTTCCCCACAGCTGTACTGGTTCACCGTGGAGTTTGGGCTGTGCAAACAGAACGGGGAGGTGAAGGCCTATGGCGCCGGGCTGCTGTCCTCCTATGGGGAGCTCCTGGTAAGACCCTCTCCTTGCTGCAGCCCCCAGCAGAGGGACAGGGCTGGGGGACAGTGCAGGGAGAGGACAGGCTCCCAGCGGGAGGAAACAGGCCTGGGCCTCCAGGACTCAGGCTCTGTTTGGGAGAAGGTTTGTCTCTACCCAGTCCTCACCCCACACTATCCCAGGCCTCGGGAGGCCCGGCGGGAGAGGTGGGGGCGACTCTGCCCCAGGAACCCCCGCAGCGTCAGGTTGTGGTACCCTGGTTCCCTCGGGGACCTGGGTGCAGTGGAGTCAGTGATGTCATTGGCCGGCCTCCTGCCAGCACTGCCTGTCTGAGGAGCCCGAGATTCGAGCCTTCGACCCTGAAGCAGCGGCCGTGCAGCCCTACCAAGACCAGACGTACCAGTCAGTCTACTTTGTGTCTGAGAGCTTCAGCGACGCCAAGGACAAGCTCAGGTGGGCTAGGCTCCTAGGGCAAGCCCCCCACAGTGCCCCCAAACTGGGCCAGCCGGGCCTTCCTTCTGGCCTTGAGCAGGGCTGGGCCTGTGAGCCCAGGTCACAGATAAGAACACCGACCCCCGGTTGCAGCAGCCCCCACACAGCAGGGACCCCGTCCGTGAGAAGGACCCCAGCGTCTGGGGAGGGGCAGACCTATAGGACTGGGGGCTGCTGGGTGGCCGGGTCAAGGCTGGTCTTGGACGTGCTGGCAGAGCCTGAGTTTTGTGAGGAGGTCGTGTGGAACCTGTCCCAACCCCCTGCCCTGGGATGGGGAGAAGTCAGAGGGGATAGACAGAGTCAGGGTGGGGGGCATGACGAGAGTGGGGTCCCCAGGGCTGGGGGCCTTTGGTGCAATGACCAGAGTGTCAGGAGAGGGGAGCAAAGCCCACTAGCCTCATCCTCATAAAAGGTCTCATCATTTTCCCTCCAGCCTCCTGTAGTGCACTGGGGAAACTGAGACCAGGGGCTATGTTTCCAGTGGGTGCGAGTGCTGAATTCCACCCACAGGCTTAGGGATATGGTCAAGGAAGGCTTCCTGGAGGAGGAGGCCCAGTGGAGGTGCAGAGAGGGATGGGATGCCCGGCAGAGTCTCTAGCGGAAAAGGCGCCTAGCCTATCTCCCCCATGAACCCCCTCACCCAGTCCTGGAAGAGGCCTCAGTGTCCCGCCTGAGACCAGGTGGCTCAGAAAAGCCCTAGGAACTCTGAGCCACCGTGAAGGTGGAAGCGCGGCCCCGGCTTCCCCTCTCCTGGAGGCTGCAGACTCTGCCTGCCAGTTGATGAGGGCTCTACCACTCTCCTCCCCAGGAGCTATGCCTCACGCATCCAGCGCCCCTTCTCCGTGAAGTTCGACCCGTACACCCTGGCCATCGACGTGCTGGACAGCCCCCAGGCCGTGCGGCGCTCCCTGGAGGGTGTCCAGGATGAGCTGGACACCCTGGCCCATGCGCTGAGTGCCATTGGCTAGGTGCAGGGCACCCCCGAGGGCCCTTCCCAACCTCCCCTGGTCCTGCACTGTCCTGGAGCTCAGGTCCTGGTGAGGGGCTGGGTCCCGGGTGCCCCCCATGCCCTCCCTGCTGCCAGGCTCCCGCTGCCCCCGCACCTGCTTCTCAGCGCAACAGCTGTGTGTGCCCGTGGTGAGGTTGTGCTGCCTGTGGTGAGGTCCTGTCCTGGCTCCCAGGGTCCTGGGGGCTGCCGCGCTACCCTCCGCCCTTCCCTGACACCGTCTGCTGCCCCAGTCGCCATCACAATAAAAGAAAGTGTGGTCTCTACAGTTGCCTGGCCCCACGTCTGTGCCACAGAGACAGGCCTGGGATCCCCAGGCTCCCACACCCCGCCCCAGCCTCATGCAGGGGTTTCGCCCTGGCCTCCTTCCTCCTCTGGGAGATGGCTGGCCACCCTGGCCAGGGAGCTGGCCCCTCCGGGCCTGGTTTCCCTGTTAACCCTGAGGCCCCACCCAGCGCTGAGCCCCCAGCAGCTCCAGAGGCTCGGGCACCCTGGCTGAACTGCCCCATCTCTGTGGGGTGCCCTCCCAGGGTGGGGGGCCAGGTGACAGTGGGAGGACCTCTCTCAGGCCTGGCAGGGAGCAGGGTCACAACCGTGCTGGCTGGGGGTGGTCTCAGAGGTGGGCCTGCAGGCCTAACCCTCCCTGCTGACGGGGCTCCCAGCCCTTGAGAGGAACGGGGATGGAGGAACAGCTGCCCCAAAGCCGTCGCCCACCCGCAGCAGGCTCTGCAAACCAAGGGGGAGCCTCAGCGTGGCCCCCAGCACACATACTGATGGGGAGGGTCCGGCTGAGCTGGTGCCCAGGCAGATGGTCTGGGCCTGTCTCCCCAGCGAGGCAGGCGGGGACTGGATTTCAGACTCTAAGATGCCCCTGGCTTACCCGAGGGGCCTGGACGTTGCCCTCCAGAGAGAGCACCTAACACCCTCCAGCCGTGACCGGCCAGGGCGCCCCCTTCCTACCTTGGAGAGAGCAGCCCCAGGGCATCCTGCAGAGTGGCTGGGACATCAGCTGGCCTTCAAGGCCTCTCCCTCCCTCCAGCTGCCCTACCACACTCTGCTGGGATCCTGGCTTGCAGCTCCCAGGGCCAACAACCCGGGCAAACTCCTACTCATCCGTGAAGGCCCTCCCGGGCACGGCAGTCCTTCCCAGCCTGGCAGTCTGTTCCTCACACACCTTGTCAGTGCCCAGCCCCTGAAGTTGCACCTGGGGGTGTTTCTGAAGGGCTGTGAGCCTCAAGGACGCCCTGGGAAAGTGCCTGCCTTGCCTGCCCCCAGCCCTGCCAACCCCTGGCTCTGCCCTCCCACCTGGGTCCCCCCGATCCAGCCTCCCTCCTTACACACCCCTCTTAAGGAGGCACCCATGTCTTCTCCCGCTGCTGGGCCTCAGAGCACGGTGGCGTCCTGGGGCAGCCCCTGCATGTCCTGCTGTGGCATGGCTTGGGGTGGAAAGGGCAGAAGGGAGGGGCCCTACAGACAGCTGGTGCCCACTACCAAACCTGCTCGGGGCAGGAGAGCCTAAGGCTGGGTGTGTGCGGGGCGGCCTCGAGAGGTTCCGAGGCTGAGGCCAGGGTGGGACATAGGGATGGGAGGGGCCAGCGCACACGATGCTCCAACCTGCCTGCCCCCATGGTCTCGCTCTCCTGCTGCTGGGACCTCCTGATCCTGCCCGTGGTGCTAAGAGGCAGGTAGGGGCTGCGGGCAGCAAGGCTCGGAGCCCATGCCCCCTCACCATGGGTCAGGCTGGGCCTCCAGGTGTCTGTCCTGGGGGGCTGGGAGGGCCGGAGGGGTGCACCCCAGGGGCTCAGCCCAGATGACACTATGGGAGTGATGGGATCGTGGGGCCTGGCCAGGAGAGGGAAGATGGGCAGGGGCTCCCAGAAGAGGAGTGGGGGCTGAGAGGGTGCTTGGGGAGCCTGGATGGAGCTGGGCCGGCGCACAGCCTCCTATACCTGCCCGTGGAGTCCTGCCACCAGCCCCAGATCACATGGAAGATGAGGTCCGGGTGGCCTGCTGGGGACTCGCTGTTCGTCCCCGGGTCCCTGGGTTGTGCCCTCCTTCTGCCACCCTGGGGAGCTGAGGGCCTCACCTGGGGCTGCTGTCCTAAGGCGGGTGGGAACTGGGCAGGGAGGGGACCCTCCCTCACTCCCCCATCCCCGCCACCTTGGCCCATCCATGGGGGCATCTTGGGCAACCAGGGACTGAGAACAGGGGTCCCGAGGACAGGGGGTCTGGGGACTGTGGTGCAAAGAGCCCTGCCCTGCAGCCCCAGCTCTCCTGGTGTAATGTGGAAAGTGGGCCGGGGAGGGCTTTGCTCTGCTGGAGACATTTGCCCCCAGCTGCGAGCAGGGAACAGGCCTGGCCACCAGGCCCCTGGTTAAGACTCTAATGACCCGCTGGCCCTGAGGAAGAGGTGCTGACGACCAAGATCTTCCCACAGACCCAGCACCAGGGAAATGATCTGGAAATTGCAGCCTCAGCCCCCAGCCATCTGCTAACCCCCCAACCCCAGGCCCTAATGGGCCGGCAGCAGGGGTTGGCAGGCTGGGGAGATGGGCTCTGAGACTATAAAGCCAGTGGGAGCCCAGCAGCCCTCAACCCTCCGGGACGGCTGCATCAGAAGAGGCCAGCAAGCAGGTCTGTTCCAAGGGCCTTCGCGTCAGGTGGGCTCAGGGCTGCCCCACTTGGGGGTTCCAGGGTGGCTGGACCCCAGGCCCCAGCTCTGCAACAGGGAGGACATGGCTGGGCTCTTGAAGCGTTTGAGGGTGAACCCAGGGGCCCCAGGGCAGGGCACCTGGCCTTCAGCTGGCCTCAGGCCTGCCTGTCTCCCAGGTCACTGTCCTTCCGCCATGGCCCTGTGGATGCGCCTCCTGCCTCTGCTGGCGCTGCTGGCCCTCTGGGGACCTGACCCGGTCCCGGCCTTTGTGAACCAGCACCTGTGCGGCTCCCACCTGGTGGAAGCCCTCTACCTGGTGTGCGGGGAGCGAGGCTTCTTCTACACGCCCAAGACCCGCCGGGAGGCAGAGGACCCGCAGGGTGAGCCCCACCGCCCAGCGCTGCCCCTGGCCGCCCCCAGCCACCCCCTGCTCCTGGCGCTCCCACCCAGCGTGGACAGAAGGGGGCAGGAGGCTGCCACCCAGCAGGGGGTCAGATGTACTTTTTTAAAAAAGAAATGAAGTTCTCTTGGTCACCTCCTAAAAGTGACCGGCTCCCTGTGGCCCAGTCAGAAGCTCAGCTTGAGGACGGTGTTGGCTTCAGCAGCTGAGTCCCAAGATACATCAGAGGGTGGGCACGTTCCTCCCTCCACTCGCCCGTCAAACAAATGCCCCACAGCCCGTTTCTCCACCCTCATTTGATGACCACAGATTCAAGTGTTTTGTTGAGTACAAGTCCTGGGTGACCTGGGGTCACAGGGTGCCCCACGCTGCCTGCCTGAGTGGGCCAGACCCCTGTCGCCAGGCCTCATGGCAGCTCTGTAGTCAGGAGATGGGGAAGATGCTGGGGACAGGCCCTGGGGAGAAGAACCGGGGGCACTCATTCAGGCTCCCACTATGGCACCACCCTGGGGCGGGGGAAGGAGGTAGGACATGTGGGCATTGGGGCCTGTGGGTCTACACCCAGTGTGGGTGACCCTCCCTCTAACCTGGGCCCGGCTTGGCTGGAGACGGGTGGGAGTGCGACCTAGGGCTGGTGGGTAGGTGGGCACTGTCTCTCCCTGACTGTGTCCTCCTGTGTCCCTCTGCTTCGCTGCTGCTCCGGGACCTGCTCTGCGTGGCCCGCCCTGGCAGTGGGGCAGGTAGAGCTGGGCGGGGGCCCTGGCGCAGGCAGCCTGCAGCCCTTGGCGCTGGAGGGGTCCCTGCAGAAGCGCGGCATCGTGGAGCAGTGCTGCACCAGCATCTGCTCCCTCTACCAGCTGGAGAACTACTGCAACTAGATGCAGCCCGCAGGCGGCTCACACCCTCCACCTCCTGCACCAAGAGAGATCGAATAAAGCCCTTGAACTAGCCCTGCTGTGCCATCTGTGTGTTTTGGGGGCCCTGGGACAGGCCCCGCTTCCGGGCACTGTTGTAAGCCCCTCCCAGCTCTCTCCACGCTCTCTGGGTGCCCACAGGTGCCAATGCTGGCCAGGCCCAGCATGCAGTGGCTCTCCCCAAAGCAGTGATGCCTGTCGGCTGCCTGCTACCCCCTCCCTGTGGCTCAGGGTCCAGTATCAGAGCTGGGGGGGGCCGCTGAGAGGCCAGGGGTGGTGGGGCCACTGAAAAATGACTTCTTGTTCAGTAGCTCTGGACCCTTGGAGTCCCCAGAGACCTTGTTCAGGAAAGGGAATGAGAACATTCCAGCAATTTTCCCCCACCTAGCCCTCCCAGGTTCTATTTTTAGAGCTATTTCTGATGGAGTCCCTGTGGAGGGAGGAGGCTGGGCTGAGGGAGGGGGTCCTGCAGGGCAGGGGGCTGGGAAGGTGGGGAGAGGCTGCCAAGTGCCACCCGCTATCCCCAGCTCTGGGCAGCCCCAGGACAGTCACATACCCTGGTCTCGAGGCCCAAGCTGGCAGCTGTCTGCAGCCACAGCCTATGCCAGCCCAGGCCCAGCCAGACACCTGAAGGACCCACTGGTGCCCTTCAGGAGGAAGGAGGAAGCAGGAGAGGTCAGATGGCAGCATGAGCTGGGGCAGGTGCAGGGACCATGGCAGCACTGGGCAGGGCCTCAGAACCCACACCTTGGGCACCCTGGCCATAAGGCCCTAAGGATTGCAGCCCAAGAGCACCAGGGAACCACCAGGGCCAGAGAGGCAGAGACCAGGGCCAGGGTCCCTCCCTCTCCCAGAAAGCAGGGCCGCTTGGCTGGCTTCCTTTGCTACAGACCTGCTGCTCACCCAGAAGGGCTGACGGGCCCTGGTGATAAGGTCATTCTGACTCCAGGTCCTTGGGGGTCCTGACACGGAGCCTCTTCTTCAGCACCCCTGAGCACAGGGTGGCTCTGCAGGGCATTCAACCTAGTGGGCAGACGAGAACCCAGGGGCTGCCTGGACCTACTGTGGCCTGGGAGGTCAGCGGGTGACCCTAGCTACCCTGTAGCTGGGCCAACCTGCCTGCTGCCCAGGCCAAACCAATCTGCACCTTTCCTGAGAGCCCCACCCAGGGCTGGGCTGGGGATGGCTGGGCCTGGGACTGGCATGGGCTGTGGCTGCAGACCACTGCCAGCTTGGGCCTCGAGGCCAGGAGCTCACCCTCCTGTTAGGGACCTGGCCACTGGGGCAGCCCTGTCCCTAAAGCTCTGAGCTCACCCCTTCCCCATGACCACATCAGCCCCCTCCACCCAGAGATGTCACAGCCCCCAGCTAGCCCCGCCTCCAGAGTGGGGGCCAAGGCTGGGCAGGCGGGTGGACGGCCGGACACTGGCCCCGGAAGAGGAGGGAGGCGGTGGCTGGGATCGGCAGCAGCCGTCCATGGGAACACCCGGCCGGCCCCTCTCGCACGGGTAGAGACAGGGGCGCCCTGCTGGAGCTGAGGTATGTGAGCTCGCGCGGGGCTGGGCCAGAGCAGGAGCTGGTGGGTCAGCTGGGAGGCTGCCCACCAGTTGGCCATTGGCCAAGCTGTTGCCCTGGCCGAACCTGATGGCCAACAAGGTCGTAGGGAGTGATGGGCAGAGACCCGTTCTGGGAAGGGAGGGTCAGTGCTCTGTGGGGGACCATGTGTTGGAGTGGAAGGCAGCAGGAGGAGCCCTTGGGTGTCCAGGGACTCCTGGACAAGGCAAGACCCCAGCCTTCCGGGACTTGCAGAGCAGCTGGCACTGGCTGGTGCTAGGGGCTGAGGAGTGTCCTTTGAGGGGCCAAATTTTCTGTGACTTCTGTCCTGGGGGACTTCTGGCCTGAGGCCTCAGGAGAGGGGAAGGCTGCCCACCCAAAAGAGACGCAGCCATGGGTACCCTCAGCTGCCCTGGGCCAGAGCTGGGGCCAGTTTTCACCTTGTTGAGACCCAGGACTCTGTCCCCCAAGCCTGTCTTCTCCAGCACCTTGACCCCAACCTCCCACACTGTGTCCTAGAAAAGGTGGACACGGGAGACCAGAGCCAGGGCAAGGGATCACCCCTCCATCCCCCCAGGCCCAGTGAGAAGCAGCTGGCCAAGGTGATCCAGGTGGCAGAGAGAGCATCAGACCCAGTTTACTGTCAGGCACCACCTTGGGCACCGGTCCCCAGATGCCCTGGCTGGGAAGTGTGGATGCTCCCGGAGCCCCCAGCTCACCCCATGTGAGTCAGGCCCACAGAGCTTGGCTCTGCAACACCTGCTGGGCTGCTGCCTATGCTCCGCCCCTTCTGGGAAGTTAAAAGACAGCCCTTCAGTGTCCAGTGCCTGGCCTTGGAACCTGGGCTCCACACGCCCACCGGGCTGGCAGGGGCACTCAGCTGCCTCCAGCCCCGGTGGTCACCCTGGCGTTGGGTGCATCTAACTGCTCCTCAGTCACAAAGCAACTGCTCCCCAAGGCTCCCCAAACCTGCCGGCCCCCCTAGAAGCCTCTGCCCATTCCTGGAGGACTGAGGGCAGCCTGTAGTCCATCCCGCACACAGCCTTCTGTCTGGGCATCCCACCTTCACATGTGCTGAGCAGGGAGGAAACTCTTGTACCACGTTCCTTAAGCGGAGACTGAAACCTGGAACCAGGCACATGGCACGTGCCCCCACCCACCCAGGACACACTGCGGTGTGGCTGCCTCCAGGCTGGCTCCCTGGATTACGTCTGCTCCTGGCATGGATAACTGGCACCTTTGCCTGGCCGTTGGGGCAGTGTTTGCCTTCCCCTGTCAGCAGCAAATATTTACTGTCCTCCCTGTCTCCAGGCCTGAGCAGACCCTGGGGGGATGAGAGTGGACTCAGGGGTGCTGAGGGTACCCTCCTGCCCTTCAGGTCCTGGTGCCCAGCAGGGGTCCAGCCCAGGGAAGAGAGTGAGGCCAAGACAGGTGGTATTTAAGCCTGAGCTGCTGGGAAAGGTAGCCCTGGGCAGAACTTGGGTGGAACATTGGCCAGTGTCTGTCTCCAGCCAGGCTATGAGGTAGCTTGTTCCAGGATGGGCACCTTTCCACTCCCAGCACTGTGGCCAGGAGCCGCCATTCACAGGTGCGACCAGCAGATGGCATCAGAGCCTCACTTTTGATGCACTTCAGTCACCAGCCACGGGTCCAGGCTCTGGCCGCCACCCAGGGTCTGAGCAGCTGCATTCTGCCCCTGCTGGGCACTCCCAGGGGCTGTGGGGCCTGTGGGGCCTGTGGGGGCCTTGCCGGACACTCTTGGGAGCTTGGGGGTCCCTGCTGGGCACTCTGAAGAGCGTGGGGCTTAGGAATGAGAGGAGGCATCTGATGATGATGAGGGGGTCCACCGAGGCCCCCAGCCTGCTCAGGTCCAGTCTCGGCCCCCAAGTCAAGCCTCAGGCCAGCTTCTCACTGGCCTGGGTTTCTCAGAGGGCCGGGACAAACGTCCTGGGTCTCTAATATTCCGAGAAAACCTCTGGCTAGACTCTGAGCCCCACCTGCGGGCCCTACAATCACAGAGAGCCAGGGTGAGAAGACCGGGGGACTCCGTCCCATCCTCGTCATGGCTGAGCCCACCGTGGCTGGAGGTGGACCGGGCTGTGGGTTTGCTGAGGGTCCCCCCTGGGGACTACTGAGGCTGGAGGCCAGCGGTGGCCAGGGGGCTCCATCCCTCAGCCACTCCAGTCGGAAGGTCGAGTCCTGGTTCCCATGTGAGGAGGGGGCTTCAGGGACTGGGACCTGGGGGCATGGAAGGCCTGGAACTGGGGTCCGGGCCTCTCAGGGTTAGCGTGTTCCCACGCTCCCCTCCGCCAGCGCCGTGAGGAGAGGGAGGTCCACTCTGGAAAGAATGTTTGGGGGCAGGGGTAGACAAGGTCTGGGAACGCGGAGATGACACGCTGGGGTGCCGCCTCCGCACCCTCCGCCCTTCCTCCCACTATTGTTTCTGGCCTGGGCCGCAGGAACAGCAAGGCAGATTCCTTCGAAAGTGGGGCCGGCCGGAGGCGGTACCCCATCGTCCCTCTCGCGGCCCAGCCGCACTGTGCTGGCGCCAAGCTCCCTGCCGGCCTCCCACCCGCTCCTCCGCGTCCTCAGCTCACTCCCCTGCTCCCAGGTGGCCCCAGTCCCCACCCCACCTCGCTTGGACTCCCCACTTCCTGCCCATCTGCTGCTGTCGGGTGACATCCTCCTTGACCCCAGGGACTGCTGAGGCAGCCTCCAAGCCTCCCAGTGTCCCTGAGGCTGCCCCTAGAAGCTGGCTTGGGGCTGTACCAAAAGTCACCCCACAGTCCCCACTTTCCAAGGCAGGGAGATAGCAGAGATCTCAGGGTGCCCGTGGACCGAGGACTATGTCAGAGTTGGGGTCCCTCAGGCCGAGGGAAAGATAGGTGGTGCCTGCCAGGCTCTCCTCACCCAGGGAGGCTGAGAATGTCTAGACCCAGGTGGCTGTGACCCCTGGGCAGTGTCACAGGGCTGCTGAGGGCTGCGCCAGAGCCAGTCCCACCCTGGCCAGGGATGGAGACCGGCCTCGAGGAGGCCCAGCCCTGGGGGTCTGCAGGCCTGTAGGCTTCGGGGAGGCTCTGCCCCCTGCAGCCCAGGCTGCTGAGTCATCAGAACCTCGGGGGCGCCGCGGGCCCCACTTTCCGCCCAGGCCTCTCTCTGACCCCCTTCCCAGCCCATCTGTGTTTTTGGAAAACAGAACCAGAGCCCCCCACGGCCCTGCCAACTTGCGGCTGCTCATGCTGGGACTCAAATCGCACCCTTCTGTCTTCAAAGTCCACCTTCTCTTCAAAGCTCGGTCCCACCCCAGCCCAGCCTCCATAGGGCCACCACCTGCCCACATCCAGGCCTGCTGCTGCCCAGCTTCGGAGGGACCTTGGGCATCCCCTGATCCTCTCTAGAGCACAGGATCCCTGGCATGGGCCCATTACATACAGGTGGCTGGGTGGGTGGTGAGGACGGGGTTGGGAAGAGATCCTGGGGAC